CCCCCGCCCCCTCTATTTTGCGCCGTCAGCAGCTTTGCAACATACCTGCTGCACGTTCGGTATCAGTTCGCCCGCTGCCGTTATGAGGCTCATCTCCGAATCATCCAGAAGCTGACTTTTATGACCCCGGTGACTTTTATGGATGGGAGTATTAGATACTTCTCAGTCTGTAATTAACTACCAATCACACATACTCTGTCAGCATACTAATCAGTCGGCAATTAATTCTTGCTAATCGTCGATCAAGAATCAGATACTAATCAGTCGGTAATCAATTCTTAATTGGTTGATGGCATGGAGAACCAGAGGAGCGGAGAGCGGAGAGTTGCTTAGCACCCATCTGTCAATGATACCAAGCCACATAAATAACCATAAATATAGATATGTATATCGACACTAATTAATGATTGTCGGGAAGAAGAAGACCCGTCGATTCGTCAGTCGCAACATAGACAATTGTCCGTACGATTCAAGACGAGTAATTGCTAGTCCCCAGGAACAGAGCGGTGGAAAGAGCGGGAACGGTGCGGGGGTAGAAGAGCGGGAAAGGAGACGGCAAAGAGCGGGAACGCAATGGGAAAACGGCGGAAATCAAGCCAGTTACGTTTTTGAACTCAAGCAACTGGTCACAAGTAGACAGACAATCGGTGAATCAATCAATCAGATGAAGTAAACTAGCGGGAAGAGAAAAACTGGTTCTAGACGCGAATCAATCCCTCAATCAATCAATCAATCAATCAATCAATCAATGAATCGAACAAGGAAACCATCGGGAGCGCAGCATCGCTCCTGTCAATGGATTCCGCTCCTGTCGGTTCACGTTGGAAGAGGAAGAGGAAGACTCCCGCGCAAGGACGAATCCCCTAATTGCCGAGAGAAAATGACGGTTGAGGGTGCCAATCAATCTATTAACCGATCAGTAGATCAATTCAATGAATGAATGAATGAATGAATCAATCAATCAATCAATCAATCAACCAACCAATCAATCAATGAATCACCGCTTTCATTAATCGCTCGCTCGAAAGAAATGGTATTCCTTTGATCAGTTTCAACACACATGTTATCCCAGCCGATGGTCTAGTCAATCGTTGGCCGATTCCCGGCCGCAGAGAGCGACAGGTTTGCGCTCTCTCGTGCGCCCGAGCGCGATTGCGGAGAAACCACAAAGCCCAGACGTAAAGCTCAAGAGTGTAAATGCTGACAGCGCATATGTGTATGCTTGTGTGTGTGTCTGTGTGTGTTTATCTGTGTATGTGTGCGTCTATGTCTGTGTGTGCGTGTGTGCGCGCTCGTGTGTGTGTGAGTGTGTGCGTGTGTGYGTGTGTGTGTGTGTGAGAGAGAGAGAGAGAGAGTCGGATGGACCGAGGAAGGAGATGATTTAACGCAGGTGCCACTAGAGGAGGCGGCGTACAGGTGAAGTACTCAACTTCTTTCTATGTCTATCCCTCTCTTTTGCTCTCTCTCTTCCTCTCTTTCTAGTGTTCGGTTCTCTGCTGCAAATATGATCACCTAGCGATCTGACCATCGCTGACGCTGCGTGCGCGTCCATACTCGTCCGGAAAAAGAACTGAGATGGCTCGGGGGATCGATCGGAGGACCGGTCGTAGGCTCTCAGGATCAGGCAGCTACACTGCGGCGGATGCAAACGACCGGTCGTTGGCGCCGCCGAGCTCCGGTCGAGTCGAGCGCACTCAAGAAAAACGATGTGCGATGTGTGTCTCCTCGACACACAAAGTGTCGAAAACGATTTCCACTCCGACACACACCCAGCATATCACCTCATCGTCCATCTAAATCAATCTATCTAAAAAAAGAGCGAGCGAACCACGCAGGCACGCGCACTGCGCGCACGCAGTCCTCCGCCGGCCTGCGCAGGCATACCGCGCGCACACGTCCACGTACACGCATGCCTCCAGTGACAACACACACCCTTTCTCCTAGCAATATATATATCGACACGCGTATATACATATGTATGTATGTATGTATACACGCCAACTCTTCCCGCGCTCACACTATAGAGAAAGGACCTCGCCACACACACACAAAAAAAAAAGAAAAAAAAAAGAAAGGGCCTCGCCACACCACTCTCGAAAAGTGCAAAAGACAAAAATTATTTGGCGGGCGCATCTGGCCATGTTCTAGCGGGAAGTTCATTCTCAATTTACACATTTCGAGAGTGGTGTGGCGACGCCCAAACACGCACCCACTTGTAAATGACGAAGCTCTCGTTTTCATTTTTGGCACATTTGGAGAGTAGTGCAGAGCGGCCCAGGAGAATGCAGAATTCGAAAAAAGAAAAAAAAAGAAAAAAAAAAAGAAAAAAAAAAAAAAGGATTTGCATGGCCCCTCTGCACTAGGATGCCACCCATAAATATAATATATATAAAGGGCCTCGCCACACCACACTCGAAATGTGTGTGGAAAAGAGAAAGGCGCATCTGGCCATGTTCTAGCAGGAAGTTCATTCCCATTTTGCACATTTCGACAGTGCTGTGGCGATGCCCAAAGGCAATATGGATCCGTAACCTTTTCCTTTTTTTTTCTTTTGGAGGCCGCATTTCTCGAAAGATGCGTGTCGCCCTCGGCGGAGGGGTGAGCAAACCCACAGGGAAAAGGGAAAAAGAAAAGAGGAAAAAGAAAAGAAAACGCAGCCAAGACATGCAATGTCTGGAAGTTCCCTTCAACCCCCCCTAACCCCACCAACCCCCGCTCAAAAAACCAAAAAAAAAAAAAAAAAAAAAGGTTGGCTGTGGAGTACAGAGGCTGTCTCTTATACACATCTAGATGTGTATAAGA